GTTTAAATGTAATTATTACTCAGAGTTCTGTATTAATATGCCTAGTAAGGAATCTCTTTGTCAGAAAACATTTCCTGTAATCTTTTTTGTTGTTTGTATTGTTACAGACATACTTGTGGACAGGTATTTTGAAATAAATTGCCAAAATAACTGAAAGTGGCATAATTATATTGTGTTATTTTGACAAATAAAATATGCAGAATTTTGCAGAATATTTTCTGCAGAATTTTTAGGTGCAGAATTCCCCCAGGTTTACAGGTCAGTTTAGTCTTAGCCCTTTTGGGGGTAACAAAGTCCAACAAATAAAAGTTCAAATATGCTGACAAAAAGTTCTTCAGTCCTCAGAAACCTGTAGTCCTCACACCTTTCTTTCAGGGCTCTCCATCATCCTTGGCCCTTTCTCAGAGCTTCACACCACTTTACCAGTGGCTGGTAGGGAAACCCAGCCCTCCTACTCCACTGAGCTCCAGTCCAGGGACCATAGGTCAGACTGGCAAAGTTCACGGCCCCAGATTTCTTGCTGTCACCTCCTTAGGACACATCTACACTTAAAATGCTGCATTGGCCAACTTGTGCTGCTGTAACACTTTAATGAAGATGCTGTAAGTTGACAGGAGAGAACTCTTGTGGGTGTAGTTAATCCACCTCCTTGAGAGGTGGTAGCTACATTAATGGGAGAAGTTCTCCCACCAACATAGTGTTGTCAACACAGGAGGTTAGGTTGGTATAACTATGTCGCTCAGGGGTGTGAATTTTTCACACCCCTGAGTGATGTAGTTATACCAACATAGGTCTGTAGTGCAGACCAGACCTTAGACTTCTTCCTCCCCTACCTCACTCACCTTACCGCCTTCTCCCCTACAACCTCTCTAGGTTATTCTTACTTTCAGGGCCCTCACCTGGAATCCCCCAACAAAATCCCAAACCCACAATTAAAATTTAACCCCACTTCTGCCTTCCTTGGGCTTGACCTTTCATCCCTCTTTCAGTTCCCCTGCTGTATTCCCTGACTGACTCCCAGGACTCCCTCCTTAGAAGTCCAGATGTTGCTTTCTTTCAGGGCATACCTCTAGAACCAGCTCCACCCCAGTGGCTGCTCCCTGTCTCTCCTAGCCATATACCAGCCTTCTCTACACACAGGCAAGGATCCCAGGGCTTACTCCTCAACTGTCCTGGTCTCTCTAATCCCAGAGAGTGACTGAAGACTTACTTTTTCTCCCTCCACAGCATTCTTCTACTGTGGGTTCCCTCTCTAATAACCACAACCCAGTTTGGCTTCTTCTCTAATTATGTCTGGCTCACCCTCCAGTTGCAACCACGTGGGTTAAAATTGGTCTCTCAGGCTCCCATTAACCCCTTCATGGTCTGTGTGGGATAAACACCATTATAACTTCAAACAAGCAAAATGCTGAACTATGAGCATTTCTGCTGTGACTATACTTCCCTGAAATAGAGGAGATTTTGGGGAAAGACATCAGCCATAAAAGATCTCTCCACAGATGCCACCAAAATCGTGTGCTCCTATTGGCTGCTGCTGGTCATTTTGAGGACAGCAAGCCCATCAAATCAAAACTGGCAACTGAGGGTGAAGAAATTCAGACTTCCTACTTAGGAAATCTGACAGAATCTTTTGAAATTTGCAGAGCAAATTTTTCTCCTGCCCTCAAGTTTAAGTTTTATTAATTTTCCAGCAACCAATGTTTTGTATTTGACAATGTCACATTATATACAATGTTATTAAAAGCAGACATTGCCAAAGGAACCCTGTAATTTGTATTTAAAGGATTTTTGGGGCTATCTTAGATTTTCACATTAAAAAAATTAAGGACTATACAAACATATACATACATGTAATCGGCCAGACATTAGACTCCAATAGTCTATCTCGTGTTCAAATAAATGAGAACGCTATCTAGCAAACTTCACTTTAGCGTGAATTTCCTTTATCAAAGCTATTTGTAATAAAATATGCACTACGGCCAAGATTTCCAAAAGCAACTAGTGATTTTGGATGCCAACCTGAGACAATTTAACAAGGTCTGATTTTCGGACTGAGTGCTCAGCACTTTCTGAAATATCAGGCCTCCTTGAGGTGTCTCCAGTTGGGTATCCAAAAATCATTAGTTTTTGAGAATTTTAGCCCACATACAGATTCTGCACCTGGATTACCACCAGTATATTAAGTATGGGTTGCAGACATGTTCAAGAGGCACCTTTTTGTAATTGTGCATTTAAGTTACTAATAGCCAACTTAGTGTAGCACTTTAAAGCACTTTTTATACCAGTGGAAAAAAGCAGTTTTACTAGCATACTTTAATCATGTTCTATTCAAATCAAAACCAGGTTACATCCACACTACTCCTCTGGGAGCTATGGGTCTGTCTACACAGCACACGAGAAGGCTAGTGAGTGATCCCGAACAAACCTAAACAGACAAAGACTCCTTTCGAAATAAAAATAGAACATTTAGGCCAGAAAGCAGCTTAAGGAGTATATGATAATTGCACAGAGAAAGTGATCCTAAACATTCCAGTATCACAAGCTATTTTCTTGTACAACATGACCTACAAGACCTCATATTTCTTAACTGCATTACATCATCAGTTTCTCTGCTGCAACCCAGATCAATTTCCATAAAGCATTCGAGTCAAAGAGTCAGTCTGAGACATGAAGCTGCTGTAACAGGATGGTGAGCAGGCATTAAAGAGAAAAGGAAGTTTGCGGAATCTAAATATGTTCCTGCAAGATCGAATGAGACGAAGTCCTTGACCATACAAGGGTCCTTTGCAGCAGTCACAGACTCTACAGCTAAAATGGAGAGAAAAATGAGTTAGAAACATTGCACATGACTATACACACACACAGTACATTCCAGTCAGGGCCGGCTTTAGGAAGTGCGGGGCCCGATTCGAATAGTTTCGACGGGGCCCCGACAGGGATGACTAAAAAAAACAAAAAAACCCACGTTAAAAAAAAGCACGTGGGGCTTGTACTCACCAGGCGGCACTCCTAGTCTTTGGCGGTGGGTCCTTCACTCGTTCCGGGTCTTCGGCGGCACTGAAGGACCCGCCGCCAAAGTGCCGCCAAAGACCCGGAGCGAGTGAAGGACCCGCTGCCAAAGACCTGGAGCGCCGCCGGGTGAGTAAAAATTAAAAAGGTGCCTCTAGCCAGGGAAAGGATTCTCTGCCACTTGCCCCGCACTCTGGGCGACCCTGACACTGGGTGCAGGGCCCTCTTAAGCGTGGGGCCCGATTCGGGGGAATTGGTGGAATTGGCCTAAAGCCGGCCCTGATTCCAGTATCAGAGGGGTAGCTGTGTTAGTCTGAATCTGTAAAAAGCAACAGAGGGTCCTAACTAACTTAAAGGTGCCACAGGACCGTCTGTTGCTTAGTACATTCCAGTTCACTTTCTGCATCCTCAACTAGAAATTAAGGGATCTAGCTGGCCTCAGATTGATTCTGAGACTGATGGTTATGGAAAGTTCCTGCACTTCCTGAACTACATTATGGTGTAGGCTGCTCTCTATTCCAAGGCGGTAATTACTCTAGCCCCAAGGGTGTAGTTATTCTTGTATGGCTCCAGTGGGGAAGGAGGAGAAGTGGAAGTCTGAGGCAGACAAAATGAAGATAGAGAGATGCAGTGCATGGGTGGAGATAGCGCTGCCACTCCCAGAAATGGAGCTGGTATTTCTTTCAACTTAGGTTGTTCTGAAGCTCACAGCTCTCTTGAACAGACTGGTTCAGTGCACAACCTCAACATGAGGCTGCAGCAAACATTTCTGGCTGGAATATACTATGGTGATAGGTGGCAGTACAGAACCCTAAGCTAGTTAAATGGATCAAAGCAGTCATTTGCACATGATGTTTGATGAACTTGATTAAATGTACAGTTCCATGTATTATCAAAAATACATAGGTCTGGTATGCATTCAGATACATAGCTTAGTATACCTGCATGGGACTTGTTATATATTGACCAATAAGTAACAGCAATATTATTGATCAGCATTATTTTAGTTTAATGTGAAGATGTCAATAACTTCTCTTAGCCTATTCTGTGGCTCACAATGCATGGCATGCAGCTCCTACAGTGGAGATCTACAGAGGTGGTTTCATGATGGAGAAAGTACACATTACCAGGTCTAAAGCTGGTGTCGTTCTGACATTGCCAGAATAAGTGATTAGGGGCCATTGGTACATTTCTTGTGTAACCAAAACTCCCATGGAAGCCAGAGTGGCAGCTGGAGATTTTTGTCACTTACTTGTTTAATATTTCTTGAATATCCTTTGAGATCTCAGTATATCTTTGCCACATGTTGTTTCTGGAGAAGCAAAGGGCAGCCAGATCAGTAAGTCTCTGTGGTTGGTTCTGGCTGTTTTCTTTCCATAAGAAGGGATGCATTAAATTATTTTCTGTGTAAAGGAGTTTCAGGGGAAGTTTCAAAACCTCACAAGGCAAAGCACAAAGCTGATTTCCTTCAACATTCAGACACTCCAGTGCTCTGTAATTTTAAAGACCACCAAATTATGTACACAATTCATCTCAGCTATAATTGTACACACAGCCTACTTCCCACTTGCTGAGTTACTGCACCAAGATGGCACAAGTATCTGTATGTATAGAAGGCTAAGATTTTAAAAAAAAAAATACATTTTAAGTGTTGATGCAATGATGTGCACAAAAAGAATTATTTTCCGAAGTACAATTTAAACAACTAGTGCAACTGGAAATAAGGGATTGTGTGTGTATCCAACGGAATGCTTAAGCAGGGCCAGCTCTAGGCACCAGCAAAACAAGCTGGTGCTTGGGGCGGCATATTTTTAGGGGCGGCATGGCCGGCGCCAGAATGCTGCCCCTAAAAATGTGCCCCGGCCGCCCTAGCTCACCTCCGCTGCTGCTGCCACAGCGCGCGAAACAGTTGATTCGCGCGCTGCTGCTCCCCCCTCCCTCCCAGGCTTGGGCGCCTGGGAGGGAGGGGGAGAAGCGGCGCCTGCGCCA